GATGCTCCAGGATGTTTCAAGGCAATATAGTAATTGTGCTGTGGGGTGTATTTATCCACTCATGTATGTTGCTATGTATTTACCATAGCGCCCCCTACAGGCATACCTGCAGTAACAAATGTCGATTGACATTTGTTACTGCAGGTATGCCTGTAGGGGGCGCTATAGTAAATACCACAATAGCTACCACAGTGCAAGAGGTTCCCGAATGGAAGTGATTTGGAACAAAGGACAGCATTGACTTTTTCTCTAAAACAGGCTGTCTACTTGAGTCTCTCCCGACTTGCAGACAAACCCTTTAGCAAGAGGTCTTTAATCAAGGAATCTGCATCCATAGAAGGCATCTGAGTCCCGACCTCCCCCCTCCCCTTCCCTGTTTCTTTTCTTGACACCCAAATATATTTGGGGGCATTTCTTTGGTCATTGTTCATATCACTCGATGCTGCGTTTGACTTAGATCGGCGAGCTGCTCTTTTGCAGTCAATCTGAGTTGGTACCTTGAGTGGGCTCTTCTTCGAGGGCCCAATCCTGCCCGATGTTGAGACCCCATTCGGTATTAAAATCAGCAGGCGTTGAGGGCTCTTAGTACCTGTCAAGATTGGGCCCCGCCACGTCAACTTTCTTCTCGTTTTGTAATAGCCTCGTGTGGTCATTGTTTCCACAGTAAACAGGTGGGAGGGGGAAACCCACAGAGTTCACTTTCCCTGTGCTGATTCTTATAAAAAATCTGGTTCATAATCAAGCTCATCCAAAAGATCTAGATTTTTATTATCGTGTCTAATGCTTTGAATTTGCTCTTTTAAAATCTGGGCGAGCCCCTTTTGTATGTGTTATTAAATATTAAGGCGCTCTCCAGCTTGTGCTCCGGTCTTTTCATATTAGTTCTGCATCAATCCCTGCTCTGATTTTTTTAATCAAAACAGTATTCAGACTATGATTCCCCAAGATTATATTTTGAGAGATTTGCGATACATATCTTGCCGGTATGGGCAGATTGCGGGGAGTTCTGAGCTGCCTGGATAATCTGCATCGGGCTCGCTTGACCTTTAATAAAAGGAGAGCAAAAAAAAATAAAATCTTAAGACTCACAGCAGGTCACCTTAATTCAGTCGCCTGCCCTTAAAACATACCAACGTGTTTAAGTATCCCCTAATCGCCAGTTCTGAACCAGTCTTTCCAAAACAAATAGATATGGAGGTGACTGGAGTGCTTGGGTACAAATGAGTCTTCAAAAGATGGAGAGGTGTCAAGGGAAAGACCTAGGCGTAGTATGATACTGGGGATCCTTGTAGCGATGGAGTATGTATACTTTGCTCCCATGCTAGGTCACCCTTCCCCTCTTCTTCCACTGTCGCGCCAGGGGCTGGGATTGTCAGGGTTTGTTTATATCACCATGCAAGATGTGTAGAGTCAGAGGCGCCAAGAGCCCCTCTCTCCCTGAGAGTCAATGGAAGTTGGGCCGCTTTGGACATCAGAGTTCGCTGGGAAGTCCCAGTGTCCTGCGCCGCGCCCTTGCTTTGATTGTCCTTCTCTCTGGACTCACGGGCAAGTTCCAGTGGCCACCCCCCTTCCGACCTGGAGGGCAGAGGCTGGGGGTGGGAAGCCACCGAAACTCAAATCACTGGCAACAGAGCAACTTCTCAATTCGCTAGTGGTGATGGTCCCGGGTTCCTTCCGAGGCCAGAGAACGCGGGAGAAGCTCCTTCCAGCAGCTCCGGCAGAGGGACAGGACGTGGGGAGTGCTGCGGTTTTGTATTCTCAGGAAAAGCTCCCGAGTCCGGTTGGTCTAATTACAGCAGCTATCGAGGTCCCCCCACCCCCATGAACCCTTAATGGTTAGGGTTAAACACGGGCGGGAATAGATGGCATCCCTACTACCTGCTTCTCCTTCCCTGGGAGCTGCAGCTCAGGTGTGTGCGGGCTGATCCTAGGCTGCTTAGAAAGAATGGGCAAGTAACAGCCCACCACGAGGACATGGGTGTGACATTTTAGGAGCGGGGGAAACTCGAAGAAGTTCCCTGGCTTTGAAGAAACGGGTCCTTGAGGGAAAACCTCTGCGTCACTTCCCAGCGCAGAAAACACCTGTCCCTTCTGCGGCGGGTGATGGGATGGGAGCGACTGAGCCGTCGACTTGCAAGAACCCTCCCAATGGGCCTAATACTCTTTATTACAAGCGCTAATCCTTCAAATCCGACTTGAAATAATGTTTATCTTCTCGCAGCTTAATTTCCCTGCCTCTAAGCTGCAGGTCACTGCCACAGCCTTCTGCTCCTGCGAGGCTGGGCTTTCCCAAGAATGCATAAGAAAGTGTAAAAGCATTATGCTTGGGGAAGTAGCATAAGTCTCAATCAAGTGATTGGCTCTTTGCAGTGCACTTCTATTCTACTGATTTCATCCAGTGCTATCTGTTCGATCGGTGGTTTGGTTCAAGCCCTCCACACACACAAGGCATCTATTGATATGTTCCTTTGGGTTGTGTTTTACTGTGCGCACCACAGCAAATAATTTCTGAGCATCTTGGTATTAAAAAAAAATACCATTGTCCACAAGATGCAAAATCTCTCGATAAAGCGAAAGTTTGTCGGAAAGAGAAAACTCTGTAGTTAAAGGAGAGTTCATACAAATCAACGTAGGGGCAATCAGTGCCGAAATTCATACCGAGGGAAAGGGCAATAGAATAGTTCTGCATGTCTTAATCAGGGAAATAAAGATTTTCAGACTATTTTTAAGCCACAAGAAGTCGCCTCAGACCTAGAGAGGTGCAAAATCCGTCAGTTTCTCTCCATCATCTGGTAATTAAAAACCGAATGAAAGCAGTTTGATCCCGCTCTAATGGTCATTAAGGTTTGAATGAGGAACTATATGGATATTAAGAGTTAATTCCTGTTAAGATGAATGTGTGATTAGTAACTAGTTCAGAATGATCTGTCTGTTACTTCTAATTAGACCTATAAAGTTCCACTCATAGGAGCCCAGGCAGTAGCCTCGTCATAGGCCACTTGAAATGGTTTCAATTAGAACAGGGATTGTGGTTAAACTGCAAGTAAACTTTGTTAAGGGGCATGCCCAGCTCTCTTCACTTAGGCAAGTCTCCCACTGAGCCCAATGGGAATGTTGTAAGGGCTGAACTGACTGGACCATAAAACTGGAAAATGATGGTAACCTTTTTTTACTGACGGTCTTCATCACAAAACCCCGTGCTGCTTCTCAGCATTAAAGCTGAAATATTTATAAATAATGGGAAATACATTAAAATATATGCACTTTAGGAATATTTACAATAAAAAAGACATACTACATTTTCCACATAAAAATCGGTGTGAGTGTGAGATATATTCATAATCTAGAGAGATCATATACAATTATTTTTTTGTGTCTTATGTGTGTGTTTCCTACTTGGAAGACACGATAATTAACTCACAACAAAGACATAGTGCGTATATCATAGTTCCTTATTCCAGTTGTTTTGCAAATTCCAAGTATGAAACATACTCTAAAGAAGGAAAACACCTACGACGTTATAGACGTGAGTCTATTATCAGTATAGACACAATCCCACCCTACAGATTCATAGAACGTGGGTGTGTTACACAGACTACTTCCAATCACTCCCCTTGATCCCTTCTCATTGATCTTCAGTTTCTCATCCCCGTGAAACGCTTCACTTCTTCTCGGTAACAAAACTATAGGATCCCCCCCTGAGCAGTCCCACTTGTCTTAGTAGCCTTTGGTAAACATGTAGAATTCTACTCGATTTTCAAGATTGATTTCCCTGATTTATTAAGGCAGAATTCATTGGACTCTATTGACCACAAATGACTTAATGTAAATGTTGACCCTGGTGAACTTGGAAATAGCTAGTATCGGGTTGATCTATAGATGACCTCTTAATTACCACAGTTATTAATTTAAATTATTGCCACTGCTTCTAGAAACAGGGAACAAAGAAACATTCTTTCCTCATCCCTGCTTGGTTTATTAGTCTGAACAGAAAGTGTTTGATGACACTTTTAATTAAACAGAAATAATGCAGAGATGCGGTTTCCTTTTCTTGTCTGCCTTGTAAAGTTCAACACTGCTCTTTTAACTGAATTATGGTGATGACCACTCACAATGCCCTACTTTGCCACTCCAGACCAGTTGCTAGACTTTAAACTGGCAGGGGCACCCAGTATTCCCTCCCCCCCCCCCCATCATGCACGTCTGGGAGGAGGGGTGGATACTTTAAAAACAGGGGAAAGCCAACATGGTTGGGGGTGGGAAGGAGGGAGAGAGAAAGCGTTCGCTTGTCCTATTGGTCATACCTTTGAGTAGTTCAGTCATAAGTCCCTCAAGTTTGCAAGACGGCTTTACAGCATTCAGCTGATTCGTTTTAATTAGAGACTCTTAAAAATACGTTCAGCGAGATCTTTATACAATGACAGAAACTAAACAGCCCGTCGAATGTCCTTAAACAATACCCCTCTCTTTTGTCTCTTCAGAACCACACAGACAATATGATTTACAAACATACTTTACCAAAGAAAGGGGGAGAGGGGAGGAATGAAAGTACTGTAGTTTTTTTTTTAAAAGGACAAGGTGGGATAAAATTAAGACTGGCCTTTTGGTAAACACGCTAATCACTGGTATTTTACAAATTACAAAGTTGTACATTGAACACGATGGTTCTTGAGGCGGATCTGTTCAAACTCGGAGTGATAGCGGTGGCGGGGCGGGGATGGAGTATTGTCTTGTAAACTTGTGCGAAACTACAATGATCCAGTGCATGAGACAAAGTCTATAATTTATTCACGCTCCCCCGCTTTCTTTCCGAGCGGGGTTTTTAGTCTCATCCATTTTTGAAAAACAAGTTGTGCATATGTTATGACCGCTCCTCCATAAAAGAAGGGACGCTAGAGTCATATTTAATGCTTTCAAGGAGCACGGCTCCTCACTGTTGGCGGAGGATTTTTCAAGCCAAGAGCCTTGATGATCAGACCCATCTTCGGGATTCTCACAAAGGTGCTGGGCTAACCTGCTGAGAGGGAAAGAAAGGTGATGAAAATCTCACTAGCATTGGTCAAGTGTATGTCCCGCGCCTGAAGAGGCTACAAGCTACGAAAACATCCCCATGTATCGTATTTAAAATTCTGGAGTTTTATAAAACTAAACTCAGGTGCAACATTTTCGGGGGAAAGACACAGTAAATGTTTCGGAGCAATTTGCTTACCGAAAAGGAACATTTGGACCTAATTATCTGTGTGCTCAAATAACATTTTAAACTAACTTACTAGAATAGTTGTTGGTCCTGGGAGAAATTTCCCTGCAAAGCAGAACACAGATACCATTATTTGTGCCTATCCTCTCCCCTGTCCATCCTCTCCACCAAACTCACAACACTGTAGCCAGCATCTGTTCTTTCTCTCCCACAAATGTTTCAGAAGATCCAATAACCTCTGAACGACTAAGCACTCAAATAAAATCATATAGTTTGTTACAGTGGGGCTGTTTTAATAGGTCACATCAGTCATTCGCACACGCGAAGTTAGGCTAGACAAGGGGACCCTGGGCTTTTGTAGAATCTGTTTGTAATACTTTGAAACTGAAGCGGTATCCCCTAGCAAACACAGCACGGATTCTCTCTGAAAATATAGATCTTTTACTGTCCCATTCACGAGCCCATAAAATGGTTTAGTGTGCAGGAAAGTTCGTTACCTACCTCACCTCTTCAGCACTGGCCTAAAAGCTGTTCTCAGTTTATCTTTATGCTGCACTACACAACCTTCACTGAGATCTATGGCTCCTTGGCTGGGTTTCACATTTCTCCCAAACCCTGCGTATAGACATAACCAATTTATCACAAACGTTGAAGCTTCACAAGGTACATTTGCTTTGTCTGACCTAGGCCAAAAGGCTTTCCAACTCTCTGAAATCCTTTCAGCCCCTGGGACCTTTGGGGCCTGCCCATACCCCACTCCCTCACCCCAGCCAGGAGTTGGTTGAACTAGAATCATTGTTTAAAATATTACAGAAAACGATTAGGCCCAGCAGCCAGATCTGTGCTGCATCGAATTAGGAGGGGGAGTTGTATGTTTTTCATGTGACGGGTGCTGTAAACAAACGTGTTGGAATAGAAACAGGCAGCTAATGGGGAAGGAGGTCATTATTTAGCATTAGCTGCCTGTTTTAGGATTCAGGTATGTTCCCCCCATCAGGATGAAGAGAAATATGGAAGTACCTTCAGCTCCTGAAGAATACTGGCACGTCTCCCCCAGGACGGGATAGGAAGCACAGCTTAGTTGGATAGACTGCAGGTTGAAGGTGGAGTTTCTAAAAATCTTGGTGGCCTGGGGCAGTTCTTCGAACGCACCGTCCGCAATGGGCGGGGCTCTGAGACTGGCCAGGGGTCTGGCCTCGGGGCAGTGTCCAGACACAGAGCGCCTTCCCCGGCCGAGCAAACAGCCAGGGCTCGCTGTCCTTGGTTCGGAGTGTGTGGGGCCAACTATAACATTGGCCCCTGCGGTGTGAGCTAACGACCAGATTCTGGGCTTGTCTGTGGGTTCGTATTGCTGCCCTTGGCTAACGGTGCCCGCCCCACTGGCTGCCTTTTGCCCCACGGTCTCTAAAAAGTCTCCTCCTGCCACCGGCATGGCTTTGTTACAGGGGAGAGGGTGAAAATTGCTGGGTGGGGTCACGCTGCAGTCCCTTTTCTCAGACTCCGCCAAAGCAGAGCTGGCACTGGAAGCCGCCAGGTGTGCACTCGTTCGGTCGTTCTCTAGCTTGTCTTCTTCCTCCTCGTCTAAATCGTCCAGGTCGCTCAGTCTCAATTCCTTTTCTTCCTTGAAGCTTTTTGGACCTGCTTTTTTAAAAGAATGAAGAGGGGGAGAAACCAACACATTAGTGATACAGTGAAAGGGCACGAGCATTGTGTGTGTGCAACGCAAGATGTTAATCACTGACAGTATATTTGCGTGTGGGGATGCTTTGTGGAGGCTGGTATCTAATGACTTTTAATGCCACTTCCTATAGAGTTTGCTATTGTGTCTTTGAGATGGGGGTCTGTCTCGTCTTGCTTTTTAAACACCTTCTTCATGAAGACATGGCTCTCAAGAAAAAGAAATTGGTGTATTCCACCCCAGCTCAATCCAATTCGAAGTCACTCATCCGAGATGTCCTCCCCCACCCCTACCTTTGCCTTCATTTTCGGTGCCATATTCCTCTTCCTCCCCCTTGTTTTCATCTTTTCTCTCTTCTCCTGCTTTGTTCTTGGGAGACCAGGTCATTTTGTTTTCCTTCTTGAGCCTCCGTCTGGCGTTCGCAAACCAAGTGGACACTTGAGTCAGAGTCATTTTGGTGATGATGGCCAGCATGATTTTCTCCCCTTTGGTGGGATAAGGGTTTTTTCTGTGTTCGTACAGCCAGGTCTTAAGGGTGCTGGTTGTCTCGCGAGTTGCATTTTTGCGCCTGGCTGAGCCACTGAAATCCACTGTCCCATACCTGCCATGAAATATTTAAAGAGGAAATGTCACTGAATAGGAATATGCGGAAGTGGTACAAAATTAACTTTACTGGCAAACTGTCTATTAAGATTAAAGCTATCCAAACTAAACAATTACCCCCTTCCCTCCCCACCCTACCCACTGGCTTTTATTAGCCAGAATTACTTAGCTTACTTCACTCTGGGTATTTTATTTATTTGCTACTTTTAAAAAAGAACAAACGACTGATGGTTTTATTCCGGGGAACAAAGAGGACCAGGGAAGGCGAGTGAGTCATTACGTTGCGGTCCCGTTTCGAGTTCACCCCGTACTGGGAGGTCATAAGCAGAGGGTTACACCCAGTTTTAATAGAGAGTACCACGTGTCACCGCTTTAGCAGCAGATGTTGCTAATCCAATTCGCCTTTTCCTAGAACTTGATTACCGCTGCAATTACCAAGGAGATGAGCGGCAAAGTTTTATGTTAGCTGACTGCTGTTAGCCGCTTGCTTGGATTCTTTGTATAACATTTGTCAGCTAGGATATCCCGGGGTTTTTGGATGGCTGTTGCTGCAGCGCAGAGGGATATTAATGCTACTCGCAGTTGATCAAAGGGCTTTTACCTGTCGTACTGGTACTGCCCTAAGGAATGATCGTAGGGGTAGAAAGCAGCAGGCTGTGCGAATCCCGAGTGCAAACTGCTGGTGCCATCCTTAATTTCATACTGAGAGTTCTGGAAGGGAAGGAGCCGCTTTTGACGTTAAAATTGAAGGTGTTAAAATAGGAAATTCCTCCACTTGTCTGACTGAATCAATGGGGGCTCCATGCATTCCAATCCCATGACGCCCCTGCTGTCTCTCTGATCCCTGCTGTCCTGAGGGGCCCCCGCTGCTGCCTTTACACCAGAAGGACGAGGCATCTGTCTTAGCATTTTTGCTACTTTTCCCTCTTCTCACACTCTGCCTCTTCCCTCCCCTCCCCATGTCCTAAAGCAAATGTGTAGCCTGTTGCAGGATAGCTGACCCCCCCCCCATCCCTCCCCCTATGCCCAGAGGTAGCAATAGAATAAAAGCTCCTGGACACGGGACGAAGCTTGGTATTTGGACGTCTACTCACCAGTGTGGTGTAAAGAGTTGATGGGTCTGTGCCGTAAGGAAGGTAGTTGGCATAACCCTGGCTCGCTGCGGCTGCTGAATAGGGAGAGCTGTACATCCCCAGAGCTGCATTGAGTTCCGTCCGGGTGCTGGCCAGCAGCCTGTTTTCGTAAGAGGGACAGCAAATAGTAGCCGCTTGGGCAGATCCAGAGGAAACATCCGACACGGCTCTGGAGGCAGTTTCACAACAAGTCGTACTGGGGCTGGCAGACACAAAAAACTGGGGAGAGAAAAGAATGTCCAGGGCGATTATTTAACACGCAGAAAGAATGTAGAGGTGGGGGAAGAAAACCAACCTCCCTACAAAGGAGTGTCAACTAATGAAGGAAAATTGGAACTAAACGGAATGGGAAGCATGTGTAGGGTGAGGGTAACTAATCAAAGCAGGCAAAACTTTAGGGAAACCATTGCCATAGAATTTTTTTTTTAAATCTGTGTGTAAACTCCCTTACTCCGGTTCACATTGATCTAAAGGCAAGAAGTTGCGATTGCAGATAACTTGACAATAGACTAAGCACTAAACATGTCAGATAATGCAGCCAAAGGCATCTGATTCCTTTACTTTTAAAAGCACAGGAGAAGCCAACGTCCCAAGGAAGGGGAGGAAAACCTTGCTGTGATCACGGTGTATAAATAATCCAACCAAAATAAATTATGGATCAATTTACGATAGAGCAGCAATTTAGTTAATTTGGAGGCACTTTTGGAAGTCGCCAGACAAAAATCGCCACATTCTAATATAAGGCAGTTAGAGGAAATACGGAGGAACATGTCACAGATAAATCACACAACAATAATATATAGTAAAATAAACCAGCAAACAAAAGCTCTGGCCGAATATTTTCTATGGGTGCACAAGAACTAGCCTGCGAGGCTAACATCACAGAGTAAAAGGCTGGGAGAAAAGCGCCTGCAAAAACCAATGCCTTACGCTGCGCCTCTCAAATGAACGCTGCAAGCGAGTAACATAGGTAATAGATCAATACAGATTTGTAAATCAGCTGCATCTAGAATTTTTTGCACTTAAAACAGAGCAGTGACAGATCAGGTTCCTTGCCCTGCAGACTCAGGGTTGTTGTTATTTTTTAAAATCCTAGAATAACACAAGCGACACACACACACACACATTTTTTAAAAAGCCTCCAGATGTGCCCTTTAAAAAGACTCGAAGCAAGGGGGTGGGGGAAGGAAACAAGACATCTGGAATGCAGCAGCGGAATCTGATCAAAAGTGAGTGCTCTCTTCTCTTACCTGCGAAGTGGTGCTGTAGGGATATCCAAACTGAGAGAAGGACATAGCTGCTCCTTATTTTTGAACCATAAGCAATATTCCTCCCCCCCCCAGATCGATTGTAACTAAACCCCCCTGCTTCAAGATGTACCTTCTCCCATACACATTTCCACGTATGGCTTCCCCCCCTCCCTCAATTATAGATGATTTCACTTAAGAAAAGCAGCCAGGCATCTGAGGCATGGAGCCTGAAAGAAGGCTTCCCCCCCACCTCCCATCCTTCTTAGGAATATATATGTTTATATATAAAAATCACCCCAATGTATGGAGGCTTGAACTGAAAAGGGGAGTTTAAAAGAAAGGAGGGGATCACGTAAGGCTTGCAAGATATGGAGCCTGCTTGTTGTATTATTTTCTGCTCTATAGTTCTTTAGCATTCATCCATGGAAGAGTATCAAAGTGACGTCATAGTAATCCCGAAACGACAGCCCCAGCCAGGCTATAACCATCTTTGCCAATCATCTCTAACATCGAAGATGCACTCAACACTTGTTTCATGTTGTTTTAATGTTGGGCTGTGATGCGCGTCAAAGGCAGGGACCTGAAATGCTGCGCGGTTGGTCTCTCTCGCGCGCTCTCTTTAAAAACACCATCCAATTTGGATTTTGAAAAATCAGGGGAAAAACGGGGGGGGGGAGGAAACTTATTCCATTCACTAAAGTGTAACATAGCCCATTCCCTCCCCCACGAGATACCTCAGCCCTGGAGGTTCAAAGAAAGAAAAGGGAAAGAAATGGCGTTTCCAGGTAGTGCAGGGGAATGTCGTACACAGGAGTTAACCATGCTGCTCCATTCTGACTTCTAGGGTGGATCTGGTGCCTGCGAATGTATTGGACTCTTTAACAAGTTCTCTAATATGTGCCTGCCTCTGTGCTAATGATTCCACCCCCCCTTCCTTTATGATCATCTGGATCTGTCTGTCCCCCACCCCCAACTTTTGCATCCGAGTCCACTATTCGTGCTGCAACGGCTGAAATCCTCTTGCCCTTTCCAGTGGCCCTGAAAGGAAGGGGCCAAAAAATAACTCCCAACCCCCTTCCAAGGCGCCTGCAGCTTGCTAGGAAAGGGAGAGACGTCTGGGATCCGCAAATGAGGAAGAACTGACACGTGTGTGTGTGTGTGTGTGGGGGGGGAACAACAGCATAATCGTCGAACAGGGAAGTGAAGAGCCCTCGGAGGTAGTCTTTCCTCTCTCTGTCTCACAGCCAGCCCGTTCCCTGGCCCCAGGGTCCCTCCCTAAGTGATGATGAGCAGGGGATCCATTTTTCTCTATTAGATCCAGAAATGGTCCCAACAGGAATGAATGGAGGGGAGGGGAGGAGAGGCTTTGACAGGTCAATGGGAAGGTGATTGATGGCTGCCTGGAGACCAGCCTGCCCATTACCACTAAGGCGTAATTGCATCAATTAACAAATGGAAATGCCCTTGTTTAACCAGCAACGTACACATTGCAAATTTGCCTTTGAGGTGAGATCTTGGAGGGAGGAGAGAGAAGGATCAGGAGTTTTTCGGGTCGTGTGCTAACCGCAACTGCTCCGCTGATGATTTCTCTCCAGGAGAAAATACACTGCATTTTAAAGCCTTCTGCCCCTCCCCTCATCCAAGAAACTACTTCGTTTATATAAATCCGTGTTCTCTACCGGTTCTGTTCGCAAAGAGCATTCCACAGACACACGCCACACCCAGTGTAAACGGTGCATTTGCTGCAACGGAGCGTTCCACACATGACTTGCAAGAGAACGGTGGTCTTTCTACTAACGGTGGCATGTTTTTGAGGGGAAAACAAACCAATGAACCCTACTGCGTGTGCTTCCTTGCCTGACGATCGGGGCCATGGCAGATGCGACCTAGCCAGAGGTCACAGTGAAAGCTGACTTTCCTTTCCTCCGGCTGCCCACTCTGAAGTTGGGGATAGGACTAGACCCATAATAATAAATAAAATAACCTTGGCTGCAGTTGCGCGGATTCTCTAAGGGTGGCGCTAGAGAGCCGCGAGTGAAGCCGGGATCTGATCAAACAGCGCTAGATCCAGATCTGAGACCGAGAGAAAGGAAAGAAGCCCACACCAAAGGAGAATAAACAGAGTTAACCTGTTTCTTCAGGGAATGAAACGCGCTCAGTCAGGTAGAAATACCTTCTGCTCGCAACCTTTTTCAAAGTTTGCAAGCAGAAACTGTGCAAGCCCAGCCCGAAAACGCCGCCCCCTTCCCTCCAAATTATTATAACCATCCAAAGTTGTCCCTTAGCCTAGCCAGAACACGGGTGTAAGAGTGTGCAATGTGGGGCGCAATATTACTCTGCTGCGATTAAACAAAACCCTCTGAACAAAGACCGGTTACCGAATACAGGGATTGGGGCTAATGTTCTACCATGGACACGTTCAGTCTGTGAAAACCCACAAGGCAATTCAGCAAAGCCAAACCAAACTTTTATTGTTGTACACCAATCGCCTTCTGAATGCAGACTCCCTGATTCTGGGAAACGCTCAGCATTAATTGCTGAAGCAAACACGCACACACACACCCGCCTCTAATCTCTTCTCAGAACAATAAAAAAAAGTCCTGCAATGCTATTTTAAAAAAGTTTCTTTTATTAAGAAACAGCGCGTCTCACTTGGGAGTTAATACACTGTTATTGCTGGAAGCTGCATTGAATATGCCAGAAAGAATCCTCTCCATGGAGCAAGGGAACTCACTTTAAGCACTTTCCACGTGTAAATCAGACCCTGGAAAGTAAGTTTTCAATTACTTTCTGCGATTGTATTTCAACCATAGTGTGTGGGTATAAAGGCGGCTCTAATATAAGGTAAGAGAAGAATAGTTGTAGGGAGATCTGGATTTGTTGCACTACTGCAAATATTAAAGGGGGGGAAAGATGATCCAGAAGTCACTCTTCCACCAGCCACATATAACATTGGACTGCTCTGCTCCAACCGGTTTACCAGACTCAATCCTATTGCCCACCACCTTAGAGAAACGGTGGCAATGGGAATATAGGAATCCTTCCTATCCAAACACACTCATATTACAGATTTCAGTAATATGCAGAGGCCAAGACTTCCACTATATTTCAGGCCAGTTTCAAAGCTCACCTGTGGGGAAGGAGAGGATATAGTCCAATCTGGAGCAACCATTTACATATATAGACTTCTTGAAGGTCTGGATTTAAGCACAGCACCTTTTTTGTCCCTGATGACACCTCATGGAATGGTATGTTTGAGGGAGCACTATATTCCTGAAGGATTTGATTGTTTGTGTTTACTATGCATAGGTATTCAAACTCAGTGGGCAGAAGTGTCATAACAAGAATTGTTGAATATCTGGAGTAATGCTGTTTGTGTGAAAGGCTGTCCAGGGCTTTCTCTCCTTTCCCCTGTTTACAATTACACCGTGTATCCACTAATCCAAGATAACACAAGAATTGCTTGGTTTTGAGATCCGGTTTTTGGTGTATTAGAATAGTAGTTTATAGACTGCCACTCTGTACACTAATTTAAATTGCTCTTCCTGGGAGTTTTGCCAGAATACAAGGTGCAAGATCTCACCCCGCAGATTTCAAGGCTCCTGCTAATGTTTAATCTGCTGGAGAACTCTTATGCTCAGACTCTGCTGAGCTCCTGAACCTTGAAGTATCCAGTTACCTTGAAAAAGAGCTGAAATTATCTTCAGACCAATTTGACTATAATTTATGGGGGGAACAAAAAAGTCAGACTTCAATTTGAATTGTTGATGATCTGGAATAGTGCTGTTTGAGCGACATGCTGACCAAGGCTGTACTTTTCAATCAAGCAACTGATCCATTTTAGCCATTGTTGACACTGGCAATAATTTAAGAAAATTCATTAAAGCACACTTTGGGGTAACATTATTGCTAATTATTTAATTGCAAGAATTCTTAAGGTGAGTCGAAGTATGTTAATTCTAAAGTAATAAAACCGCTTTTTCTAAATCACTTGACTCAGCAACTGTTATTACCAATCTAGTCAAGTATCAGGGGGTAGCAGTGTTAGTCTGTATCCACAAAAACAACAAGGAGTTGGGTGTCTTTAAGGTGCCACCGGACTCCTTGTGGTTTTTGTACCAATTTAGTATTTCTTAACAGAAATGCTTTCTTAAATTATCTGATAAAAGCAGCAACAACAAAATTTTCCTCAGCCCCTTTGTGATAAGAAGACATAGGGGCTATTGTGAGGGCAATATTGATTTACTCTTGATTTATAAATCCAGCCAGATTGTAGAAATGCTATGTTCAAGTTTACCTCTCTCTCTCTTGACCTTAAAAATAAATGAACACCAAAACCTCAAGCAATATTCAATGCGCAAAACCAATCTCATAATAGACACAATGCAGATCAATGCAAACATTATATTTGTCAATCTGTACCCAGCACAATCAATATTAAAACAAATCTATTACCTGCTAAGTATCTTGCAGCTGAGTGCAGTTTTGAGAGATGGCCTTTTGCAACTAAATTCCCTCTTTACTTGTGGCACCCTGCCCTGCCCTTTGGAGATCTTTGTGTAGCATACTTTGTGCTCCAGAGCCAGACATGTGGCCGTTTTAAATTACTCTTCCAACCCGGGATATTAAACTATGTTCACATTAACCAATACAAGTTCTGCCTTCCCCCACTAGATTTTCAAGAGGTCAGAAGTTCTATCTTTCCTTGTTCTTCTGAAACGCTGCTACCAGGCTGTCTGGTTATCTCACTTAGCAACTGGAATCAGCATGTCAAAACTGTTCAATCATCTTTCTGTGATATGTAAACATTGGCATAAACTTTATGTAAATGGATTCTTGAACTAATCTGGGTTCAATGAAGCTTTGGAGAGAAAGTATTGTGGAATTGGCTTTTATTGTTTTGATTATAGTAAACCACTTCAGCAACAGTATTGTCATTCTGCTTTTCACACTGATGGCAATGTTTTATGGGAGAGCTTAAGTTACCATGATGTGGTAGATGATTGTTGTAAATCTTTCTCATTAATTTGTACCTACACACATTATGATTATATACACACAGTGTGTATTCCTTTTAATAAGCTGTTCCAAAGAACAATATATCTATTGTACATGAGCAGAAGAAACTGATATCTATGGATTCAAACTTCTGTTTTTGAAGAGAACAATATCAGAGTCTCGGTTGAAAATATTTTGAGCAGTATTGCACTGAAGCATGATGACTGGAGTCCAACTGCAGTTGACTTAATTTGATTTTTGGTGCTTTTAGTATCAGCATCATTTGGTTTAGCTCTGTCATTGCCTCACTTAAAAAGTAATCACTGAGAGGTAAAGTAATAAGTATGTTCTTTCCATTAACACAAATGCAACTGATGACAACTATGTGAATAAAATAATAGGTTAATTGAAACATGCATAGAATGTCATTTACACAAAAGAAGAACATTGAGAGAGGAGAGGGAAAACACAAAGTGTCTGCGGGGGGAGGAAAACAAATGAAATAGGAGAGCAAAAATATTGCTGAGAAGAAAGTACATTTATATTTTAAAATATAGATTTTTGTTGTCGTAGGTTTTTTGTACTTAGAAAATGAAAATTCTTCAAGTCCATGCATGAATAAACAAGTACAGCTGGGCAGCCTAATACATAATTTATACTGATCAGTCACTGCAGATCTAACTGAATAAAATCAAAATGAACACTAATTGTTTTGACAAACTAAAGTAGTGTATA